CAAAATAAATCAAAATATACTAAGTTCAGATCCTATCTTCTGGATCCATCAACAGAATGCACAAATGGCAAGCACAGTCAAACGCCTACGCTTGCATATTAGAATGCAGCCATAAATGCAATGCGCGCTCCTCGTGGGTCGTGATGGAAAAAAAGAACTCTTTCTGGGTATAAATAAAACGGTTTCTCACGACGCAGATGGAAAGTGCACCGAGGGAAGCGTGGGCGAGAATTCGCGATTCTCGAATCGAGCCGTGCGTTGGGCCTACGCTGAATCGCGTAATCGCCTGTCAATCTTTCATTGGCGAACAATAACCCACTGGCTTTTTATTAATGCTTCAATAACAGCTGCTTACTCTACTTCTGTTCTTGGATCCTCTGTCTTGTAGACTGTATCAGGACTGTAATCTGGTCTCGTTTGCTTTGTTTTATTCCCTTTACATTTGAATATCCAATGTTTCTAGCACAATATTTGTTATATATAAGTGGTCAAAAATCTTGTCATGGTACAGCAGCCGTCTAGATAAGATTCTTTGTTCCGTTTCTGCGAGGATTGATGCGATGGATAATTTGGAAGTTCCTAAATCAAAAATTGGTTATACTAACATCATGAATTACGAGTTTGCCCTGCAATGACTCAATGACGCTAGTCAAGCGTTAAAAATATTCTTAAGTTTTTGACCTAACCTAACTTTAATTCACTCCCACACCTAGAAGAAATTATTTTATACTTATTTTACGTATAGAAACTGAAATTCAATTACCATAGACATTTTTAGTTGCAGAGAGAAAAAGACGAACAAAAAGACACGTATATAGAGTTTATCAGAGCCAAGTGTCGCCATTCGCCAAGTGGCGAACATTACAATCTAACGGATGTTTGTTGATCGTCGGCGAATCGGTTTTTCCCTTTTCATCTCCCGGACAGTTACCGGGAATCCGGTTGGGCTACTCAGATTTCTTCACCAGAGATTTAAAGTCCCGCGTATCCGTCCCCTATTGAAAAAGGAAATGGTAAATGCGTTATATACGATCTGTATTTACGGTAACGGGAATACGTGGTCGTGCGTTAAAGCTCAAAGCAGCGGATTTCTTTGATAAGCCGTGCAATTTAACGGCGCCTGAAAAACCACTTGCGCCGTATGTTTAATTATTATCGGCAACAGTTTATGATACTTACATTTTACATGTAATCCTGGGTTTGAATTTTGCTTTCGTGCCGTAAGACGCATAAACGACCAGCGTGATAACGATCGTTACTTATAAACGTACAGTTTCTTAATTAATGTACTTCACTAACATACTTTTAGGATTAAAGCAAATTTTTAAACGCAAGAATATAAATAAATATAAATTCCTTGAATGGAGAAATATACTCACGAACGCAGAAGCGTGATGATGTTGAATTCGTATTCGACGCCATTACTGCTGATGTCAAATATTCATTTATTCTTTAATTTAATAAAAACTTTTCTTTACAAGACCTTAAATTGTTGATTAAAATTGTCCAATCTAAAGTTAATAAAATATTTAAATAGATCTGTAATGATCTCTCCTTTAAATTGATATGTATTAAAAATTTAAAATTTCGATTGTAGCAATGCGCGCCAACTTTTAGGCGCCAGATTTGAATGTTGCTATCTTGCTGATTGCTATTAATTCTTGTAATATCGTTGGATTATAGATGATTGTAGTAATTATTATTACATTTATTAACGTGATCTTGAGTGTTTGATTTTATTTTCATTCTCTCTGATAGAACTCAATAGTAAAATCCAAATAAAAATTCTAAAATTAAATAATTTAGAAACCTATATTGTAATTTAATGATCAATGTCCAATGATATCACTTAAGGGTTAAAAACGTTGTTTTTTAATATTTCATAAATCAAATATTAATCAACATGTTATAAATTAATTAATGGATATATAATATTTAAATACCAAATTTCTTTTTCAGATCAATAATACAAATTAAACCACAGCTCTTGAGTCAAAGTGTGAATAAGAATAATGGCAAGGCAGCAGACAGCCGACAGAAATATTCCCCATCTCCGAGATATCTTCGGATTTGGTAACAAATGGGAGAACACGCGTCTCCAAGCAGAAGAGAAAGCACCAGGACACGACAGCGCGGTATCTGTCGGTTCAACCTCTGGTGAAGAGGAGAGTCCTAAGAACAGCAAAAAGAAGAAGTCACGTCGTCGTGATAATAGCAAAACTTTAACGGAAAGCGATGTGAAACACCTGGAGAGACACCTGTCCATGAAGAAGACCATCCGCAAGAAGATCATGCGCGATCTGCAGCAGGCGTTCGTTGAGGATCCGAATGAGTTCCGGGTAGATGATATACCACCAGAACAGCTGAAGGCGGAGATCAATATTCAGAGTCTGAGCTTTGGAACACCATCACAGAAGCAGGGACGCACACGTGGCAACGCAGAAAACACATTTCTCGACATGCTTCGTGCTGGAGGTGGACTTTTTTTTCTTTACCGTGCTTTTTAGGATAATTTAACCTGAAAAATACATGCTTTTTATAATTAATTTAATATAAAAAACTTGTGTTTTCTTATATTTAATATAAGAAAATACAGTTCTGTATTGGTACAAACTATATTTTTCTGTAAATCTTATATATTTATTTTTTTTATTATTAACTCTTAAGTAGTTGAGTATATCATACATGATTTTGTAATTAAATTCAATTAAAGGTTTCAAAATTAACTAATTTAAATAAAAAATGTAATGGTCTACAATTGCCCAATGATACCAGTTACGTGTTAATTTATGAAGTATAATTCTAAAGAAGAAACATATTTCTCTTAATTTCATGTTTAAAATGATCTGTATCAATACTTTTGTTTATTGGTGTATTTTCTAGCAATATTAACATCATCAAATTTATAATTCTCAAAATTTCAAGAAATTAAATACTCATTAATATTAACTGAATGTTTATGAAGTATATTTATTTATTACGACGTAGTTGACAACGTTATTATTCATATGCCTATCAATATTCAAAAGTCATATTTTAAAAAAATCATTTGTGGAATGACAAGTCCTTGAAACTTAAAGAGTAATAAATGTTAATATATTTGTATTTCAGGTCTGGAAAAGAACTCTGGTGATGGAGACAGAGACTCTGGACATGGTGGCTCCCCCACTAGGGAAACTCCCAATGCACAAGACACGGACGACGAATCTAGTTACCCCTATGATACACCAGTTGCAACGCCGTCGAAAAAGAGCGGCAACTTTTGGAGACGTTTCACCATGAAGAGTCGTAACAAGCGGTAAATCCCCCGGCCAAATGTCGAACCAATCACCACCAATTTAATTTCCGTTTCTGTAACTATACCAACTTAGTTATTCGAGCAGAGCTTGCAACTGTGATATATATACAAAAGAGACACTTTTCCAAGTTTT